AGTGTGGCGAGATTTTGCTACTTTCATTTCATGTAGTATTGGCATCAGGCTATTTGAAAATCATAATGAAGATTTGTCCCTCGATACGGTAGCCAAACACAAAAATCAGGGGTCTGAACTACATCCGGTCAGCTTGGACATACATGCGGTCAGTGGAACCCCGGCTGATTACCCGGGCGCTTCCATCAGTTCACAAGCAGTCCCGATACCATCTTCCATGAGACTTACAGGGATCTTACATATGAACACATACATGAGGTTAGCGTACAGACACAGACAGACAGACAGTTTTATTCACTAAAGTATGGAATCTGAGAAGGGACATTACAGCAAAATGAAGCAAAATTAACCAAAGCGCGATAATGCGACAACGCGACATTTCGGCCATTTGTGGCATTGTCGAGATGTCGCATGTCGCGTTTTGAATAATATTTTTCTATTCCTCCAAAGGGCGACAATGCGACATAGCGACAATTTTCAAGGTCGAAATATGTCGCATTGTCGCCCCATCTAAGATGTGTGAAAAAGCCCAAAAATGCGCGACAACGCGACATATTGAATATGTCGCATTGTCGCGTTGTCGCGTTGTCGCGTTGTCGCCCTTTTCGATTACCGGTGCGCATATGTAGTCTACATCCCAGGGTTATCTGCTGGCGAGGCAATTTGCTGTGCAGAGTTATGTCTCTAGTCAAATGGTGAAAACATGATCTAGAATCCCAGCACCATACGCATTCATCACTTTGGACATCTCACCGATATCAAGCTGACAGGTTATGACCAACTGAAATATTGTTAAAATTCAGGCCACATCGGCAAAAACATCAGGTGAAGTCCTCGAATGGGTCACTATGTTCGACAGTTTGGCTCCTGAGTTCTTGGAACAGTCCTGTCCGACGTGGATGAATTTGTCCGAGATCTGCCTCTGTTCAGCCAGAAGTGGATGGATACCAGGTAGAATGAGATGGTAAAATCACTTAACCATCCAGCACCTCAAAGACAGTTTAGGTTGGCTTTTAACGTGATATTCTTCTTGGGAAAACGCCATACAAATGGACTGTTATCATTGTGATATTAAGAACGATGAAATCTCTTGGCAGAGTTGCGTACCCTTGGAGCGCCAGAAACCAACTCTCCCTCCCTCCCTCCCTCCTCCCTCCCTCCCTCACTCACTCCTCTCACTCCGCTCCACACTCCACTCCACTCCACTCCACTCACTCACTCACTCACTCAAGGTACTCACTCAAAGTTTAAGGAGCTCGGTGAGTGAGTGAGTGAGTTAAGTTTTACGCCGCACTCAGCAATATTCCAGCTGTATGGCGGCGGTCTGTAAATAATCGAGTCTGGACCAGACAATTAGGGAGCTTGGTAAATTAGCAAGGTATTTCATTACAATAATGTGTTGTGATGTCTGTTTTTCAATTCTATTTGAATCCTATATAATGAATCCTGGACATGCCATGATTTCTGAAAAATTCATTTCTTCACCGATCTCGTTCAAATTTGAGGTGAGGTGAGGTGAAATTGGGTTTAACGTCGTGCTTGAGAATATTTCGCTCATATGACGACGTGCATGCGTGTGTATGTGTATGTGCGGCTACTTGTACTAGCCCAGACTGAAGCTGGTTATATAGTGCTATCCCACTGAGATACCATGCCGCAGTCGAATCCCTGCGGTTATAATGCATACTATAATCAATGTTTTAACAAAGCGCGACACGCGACAATGCGACAACGCGACATTTCATCGCGTTTTAGTCACTTTTTAGGCTTTTTTTACACATCTTAGATAGGGCGACAATGCGACAACGCGACATATTTTGACCTAGAAAAGTTTGATTTACAAACTAAACATAATATTTCATTAGAAGCACTATTTCCATATCTCCAGTAAATATTTCCACATCTGAATTTTGACATAATCACATACATAAACACAGCATTGTCCAGTTGGGAATTGCACATGTCTTGAAACAATGAGGAGGGAACGTCTTCTGTTGCTGTTCAGCATGGGTGGGTTGGTAACACTGGGGGATTCACAAGGATGCTCAGCCATACTGTCCACATGATACACAGGCGTCCAATCATGACACTTCAATTTAGTAATTGACTAACATAGAAAACATCCAAACAAAAGTGTCAATTTTCAAACCACAATTATACAATCACAAAAAGATAACAGGTTGCGTCCTAAACGTCAGGTGCCAAATTTCCGAATTTACCGCTAAGCACGTGTGTCGTCATCTTCTCATCGCCATATTCATGTCAGGATTTGAAGGTTGTGACTCTGCATAAACCACTCCGGGTCGGAGCTGAGATGAGAGTTAGATATACTCAGCAACAAAACACACTGTACTATTGATGCTTTTGAAAAACTATTTATGAAAGAGTTTAGGTAGTAAAGGCAAACTGCAAGGTATGAATCGAACGGTTAAAACACTTCACCTACCCTGATAGAAGGTGGAAGAAACCTCGTGTGGCAGGAGATATTCATGAAAATGTACCAGGGCAACCCGTGAACATCATTAAGTTAGGTTGAGTGAGAGAGTTTAGCTTTACGTCACATTCAGCAATATTTCAGCTATAGGGCAGCGGTCTGTAAATAATCGAATCTGTATCAAGCAATCCAGTGATCAACAGTATGAGCATCGATCTAAGCAACTGGGATACGATGACATGTGTCAACCAAGACGGCGGGCCTGACTACCCGTTCCGTTAGTCACCTCATACGACAAGCATGGGTTACTGAAGAATTCTAACCCGAATCTTCAAGGGTCGTCACCACCTGGACATAGGTAACGGCGTACGACCATCTAAACACGCAGACCTTGATCAACTCCAAGGCGCAGGTGGGCCAACACTATTCCCGGGATCCGCAGTTTGTATAGGTTTATTGCCAGTGGCATATTTGCTTGACCAGCAAGAGGGACAATTCTGAAATTGCAATCATCGTTTGTTGAGTATACGCTGTATCAAAGTGAAAGATATGTGCTGTACAGACGGATCCCTGGTTTGGACGTATTCACCGTCCAGCATGGACGGTATACCAATATCATGCCTATGTTATGGTAGGGGAGAGAAACAGGCAACATATACTATCCCCAAAAAGATTTTAAATTTGCAAAAATCTAATTTTACCTATTAAAGTTCAAACAATAGCCAAAACATGTAAAGCAAAGTGTTGATAAATAAGATGTTACACAATTCGCAATAAGTAAAAATCGATTATACCGCAAAATGTTGATTTTGATGAGATTTCTTACAAGGATTTAGTAGGCATCGCCAATAACGTAACAGAAATCACCTTCCAGTTGAAATTGCGCAGCAAAGAAGGACGCACCGTCTGGCATAATAAAAATCCAGACTTACTTTCGGAAATTGGCATTCCGTTTTGAAGGTGAAATCAATACACCACGTCTTGACTCTTAAGCGACACGGAACATCGCCATTGAAAGAATGCACGCTGAGATTACCAAACCTTCTGGTTGCCAGGCGTCTGATCGTTACTCTTGAGCAATAGTTATCACGGTTTGCAGCTCGTTACTACCAACCAACAGGTATAACAAATGACCGTCCCCGTACAGGCAGACTCGAGTAACCACTGCAGCCCAAGATCGCAACATAAGGGTACCGCATATGCGTGATCGTACTGCTACGGGTGAGAGTACAGCAGCCAGGGTGCCTGACTTCGGTGGATATCCGGTCAAACCTGTATGGAAACAGGTTGAAAGAGATTGGTCTGAGGGTCAGCACCAAACGCCGGACCGTGCTAAGTCGTCACCATCGCGCCCAAAAGTCACCAAGTATCTCAAAAGCATGCACTGACTCACTTACCATCCGAAGACACACCCGTGCTACATGAAGTAAAAGTTTGGGATACGAAGAAGAACTGAAACCGTTTTAACCAACAGTTGACAAGATCACTTGTTCTCCAAGAACATGAACATCCTCTCTAAGAACCATGAGTATAGCAACAGCTGACAACAGAGCGACAACAACCAGGCTAGCTATTCTCGAAACGTTCGTAGCCCTACGAACTTCTTAAGCCCATTCTTAACACATTGGCTACGATCTAAGTTAAGAATTCTTAGGGCTACGAACGTTTCGAGAATAAGGCCCCAGGTGTTGATGTGTGTGAGTGACACATGGGGTCATTGCATCTGTATATCCAAGTCGTCCGCCCTGAACTAGTTCACTTTAATAACGCTGCATCTGAAACAAGAAGCTGGCATCTGAAGTAGACAATGGGAAATACGGTTTTGAACGTTAAATCGATTCCAGGATCATGAACAAAACAGGAGGAATTTTTGGTTAACAAGCGAGACTGAATCAGTCTATTACAGCGTAGCAATTGTTGTACAAATAATGGCAGCTTAATTTATCTGTATCCATAAAAGTCGGTCCCTCTGGACACAGAACTGAAGACCACCACATATTTCATTGGCCATAAATTGTTAAACCGTTGGTCATTTGGATATTTCCTCACGTTTTGCACATAAACAACGTCCACGGTTCATCAATTCTAAATTGGGAATTTAAAACAAAGAATCTCAGCTTGATAAACATGTTCCTGGAGTCAAATTAATTTGCTGACTACATCTTATATCTATTTAGAATATTTGTCAAGCAGTGGAAATATGTTTTTGTTTTGAAAATAAGGACAGTGACACTTTTCAAAGGTAACTTTTCTCAAATATAACTTAATTTGTGGTGAATATTCTTAAAATCATGCCTTTGTTCTTTATATTTTTGCCACACACTTCATATGTCATTAATGTGGCACTTGGTTGAAATGTGCTTGAGTGTGCTTTAGTTTGTGTGTTTGGGGCATTAATATTCATAGCATTGACGTATTAGTGCTTAGTCGGCATCGGTCCGATTGGCTAAGGCTCAGTAGTTAGGTGTCAACAGTTATCATTTAACTCCTTTCACAGTACACACAGAGCAACGTTCGTCACCAGACAGCTTCGCTTTTAGTCAAGCTGAACGCTACACATTAGGAGATGTCCAAACTAGAAGAGGTCAAAAGGGAGATTGTCAAGTATGACTATGTTCGATTCTCCCTCTGTGACTTGAATGGCACCAGTAGAGGTCAAGTTGTTGTCGGCCGCCATGCTGCCAAGTATTTAGAAGAGGGTGTTGACGTCCTTCAAGGTAAACGATGACAGCATGTTGCAGACAGAACATATTGTACCTGTTCCTTTCTTGGGAAGACTATTCTGATAAGATTACATCACACTAAGCTATAGGTAAACGTGTCGAGACTCTAACACGTTTAACTGCTGATTTACAGAAATTAAACAAGGTTCATCTATTGCTGCTCATGGGCAGGACATACAGTCCCTCGCATAATAATAATGCACACTAATGGCTAACAAACAAATAATGGTGTTTTGTAGTATGTACATATCCTAATTTCAATTAGTTATTTACATTTCAGTGTTCAAAATTGTTGCAGGCATTTTACAAATCCACTTAGCTTGATAAAAACAAACCATGTACAGACACTTTTGTGTATTTGATTTTTTTCCAATGTTATATTTCTGTTATATAATTGATCTATTTATGGATCTCACAATGTTATATAATTGATCTATTTATGGATCTCACAATGTTATATAATTGATCTATGTATGGATCTCACAATGTTATATAATTGATCTATGTATGGATCTCACAATGGAGTTATATAATTGATCTATGTATGGATCTCTACAATTGATCTATGTATGGATCTCACAATGTTATATAATTTCTATGTATGGATCCAGTATAAATCATGTTTATGGATCTCACAATGTTATATAATTGATCTATGTATGGATCTCACAATGTTATATAATTGATCTATGTATGGATCTCACAATGGAGTTTTCAGCCAGTACAAATCATGAAACAGATAAAGTTTCACGAGACCTATTATGTCCGTTGACACCCACTTGTCAGATCTTCCCACTTGTCATATCTTCCCACGAATGCTTTGACACTGACGCAGAAAGAGAAATGCTTCGTAAAGAGAACAAGAATATGAACAACTGTACTCTCTTGTCCCTGCAATCGCTCGGAAAATTCGAAATGACCTCTCACCTAGATGGCTTTGACAATCTGCTTAGAATATTTATTGTGTTTTTGTTACTTTTAAATTTATGACTATTGTGTGAAATGTATACTAAGCAGCAAAAGAAACGTCAGTTTGGACTTTTCTTCACAGAAACGGATAACTGTAAACTCATTTAATGTTTTGATTGTATATTTTTGACAATATCTCCAACTGTACCTGAGCAAAGACATTCCTTCCCAAACTCAGAATGGAAACCAGGAAATGGTCTCAAACACGCAACCTGATCTCGGAGATGGCACGGTGTTCTCCATGTTTTTCATGCAACTCATGCTGCACATGCTGTTCACAAGGACCAGCCCTATAAAATGCACCCCAAACCTGGTTGAAACATTCACATTACAACGTCAGCAGGAAGCCGCGACTGACGACAGCTCGGAGGAACCAGGCGCTAGGAAGACTTGAAGCTGGCCACACTGCACAAGCCGTTGCCAATCACTTCCAGGTCAACGTTCAGACCATCTACAGGCTGCAGCAACGTTTCCGGGCCACCAACACCACAAATGATCGAGCCCGTACAGGCAGACCAAGGGTGACCACAAGACGACAAGACCGCCATGTTGTGCGGCAGCATGTACAGAATCCCTTCATTCAGGCATCCGAAACAGCACGCCAGACAGTGGAACACACAGGAGACCAATCAGTACTGATACAGTACGCCGACGTCTTAACAGCGGGAACTTCCATTGCCGTAGAACTTACCGTGGACCACTCCTAACCCCTCGTCATCGACGTGAACGTGTACAGTTTGCTTTACAACACCAAAACTGGCGATACAGGCAATGGAGAACTGTTGTGTTCACAGATGAGAGTCGGTACTGCGCATCAACTGCAGATAGCAGAACAGGAATATGGCTACGACGTGGCCAGCGTTACTCAGACCAATGTGTTATGGAAAGAGACTCATGGGGAGGTGCAAGCATCATGGTATGGTGTCGGGAATAGGCCTGAACCAGAGAGTTGGTCCTGTGGTGTTCCAGAACCTTGGTCCAGGGAGAGGCGGCGTCATCACAGCGGTGCGATACATTGACCAACTCTCAGACCCCACGTCATACCACATTTCGCACGTCACCGGAACAACATTTTCGAGCATGATAACGCCCGAGCCCATACTGCCAGAGCTACACGGGACTTCCTACAGCAGAACGGTGTCAACATTATGCAGTGGCCAGCCCTTAGTCCTGATTTAAACCCAATTGAACATCATAAAATTCAGAGGAGACTGAATAATGTCATACCCAGGTCGAACACTGCAGATTTATTGCGCCAGGCCTTTCTCAGAGTGTGGTTCAAGGTGACAATGGCCTTCATCAAACGATAGGTGCACTCCATGCATAGACGCTGTGCTGCAATTAGTGCTGCTCGTGGTGGTCACACTAGATACTCAAGTCAAGGGTCTGAATAGACTGCAAACGTTCACGCAATGTCTTGAAATTGTGCTGAGTTATTCATTGATGTGCCAAGATATTGTACACAAAAAAGGTTTTTGATCCGCTTATTATGTCCATTTCTGTAATGATTTGATTACAGTGCCTATCTAATTTTGAATTCGTATTGACGTTGTTTTGGGGGGTTTGTTTTGCTGCTGAGTATATATATTGCATTTAGCATGAAAACCTTTTATTTCCTTAGGTATCCTTTGTGGAATCCCGAGGAAGGCCTACCCTCTGATTGACCATGACAACAACTACAATTTTGGTAATGATGCAATATATCCTGACCTTGACACCCTAAGACCCATCCCATGGGCACATGACGAGGTCAAGGTAGCTGAGATATTATGCGAATCTCGGTGGAAGAAAGACAACTCTCCCCAGGAGGCATGTCCTCGATATGTGGCAAGGAAACAGCTGCAGAGGCTGCAAGAGCAAGGATATGCCCTTTTCTCTGGCTATGAAATAGAATTTAAGATTCTTGACAAAGAAACCTTGACACCAGTATTTGAATGTTGGAATCTGCACAGCCACAGATTATTAACCAAACACAGCAAAGAAATCTTTAATTTTGACAAACAATTTCAACTTGCTAACATTGACGTGGAAAGATACCATGTTGAAGCAGGACCAGGCAATTTTGAAGCCATACCAAAACCTAAATTTGGGATAGAAAGCGCAGATATATGCATGACCGTGAAGGAAGGGCTCATGGAAATGGCAGCAAATCTGAAACAGCATGTGCTCACCTTCATGGCCTTCCCTCTGTCGGATGAAAATCCATTCGGAACCTACTCTCATCTAAATTTTTCGCTGTGGAACATGAGTGGAGAGTGTGTGTTCTTCGAAGCCTCTGCTCCTGATAAGTTGTCCGTCATTGCCAAATACTGGATCGCCGGTATCCTGAAGCACAGTAAAGCTCTATGTGCCTTCTCCAACCCTACTGTCAATTGCTACAGAGGTATCAACAAACGATTTTGCCCATCAGCTATTTTCTGGGGAATAGATGATCGAGAAGCATCTCTCCGAGTAAAAACTGAAGGTCCCTCCAAGACATACATAGAAAACAGGCTTTCCAGTGGTAAGTGCAACCCGTATCTTGTATTGGCGTCCACCATCGCCGCTGGTTTGGATGGAGTCACTAACAGACTGGAGTGCCCACCCGCAGGGAGTTCCGAGAACGCCGAGACGTTCCCCAAAACTCTGGAGGAAGCACTGGAGCAGTTGATGCAGGATGATGTACTCGTCAGCGCCCTTGGCCTGGAGCTTGTTACTTGGTTTGTCAAGTGTAAGAGAGATGGAGAGATTGACTTGTTCACAGATGCTGAAACTGATGAGGAAAGATTCGCCTTGGAGAAGGAGTATCATCTTCTGTGAATCAGGACGGAAACTCAAGTATTTCAGGACAGAAGTCAAGGTACAGTTCTTGGTTCATCAATAATAATCTCGTGTTCAAGAAGTAAAACAAACTGCGTAATTTGTAATTTTCAGTTGTTTTACAATGCAAATTCCATTATTGGCAACCATATCCGAAAATTTTGAATTTGTTTTAAGAAGTGTACAATACTACTTTTTATGTTCGATCAAACATTTATAGATTTTGAGAATTTGTTTCAATGAGATTCAAATTTCTGTTTCTATGGTTTTGTTTGCTGTTGCAATAAGCACGATATTTTATACATGCTCTCGTTGTTATTTGGTATTGTATTGTTTTACGTTAAAGACTGTGGTCAGTGGCGCCGCTTCTGGCTTCATCAGCAAGAGATCCTAGCATCCCCATCAAGGTAAACATGAGGCGCCTATACTTGTGAACAAGAAGACTATATAGTAACATGGAGCTGACGAATGCTTCTTCGATATCGGGGCGTAGAAGACAAGCCTCAGATATTTGCCACCTTTGTGAAATTGACAAGCATGGTACATGCTGGAGACGTGAATTAAGAGCACCAAAATAAACAACTTAACCAGATTATCTTTTATGCCTTAAGTTAATATAAATGACAATATACATTCATTAACAATTATACTGAACGTTCATCCTGTACGCTGAAATACTACCTGTCCGACTGAGAACACCTGAACATTAATCAAGTACCCCCTGAATCCATGGACAATTTGTGGACTCCAACAGGTGATCATACCCTAGCATACCGGGAACGTACATGTAAAGCATGTGCTTCACTGGGTATGTCAAAAGCTATGGGTCGTACGTTTACGTACATTGTTGTACAATTCATAACTGCAGTCTGTACGCTGCAGTGTTCTGAACTGATTTAAAATAAAAAAGACTGTGCTAAATGTTATAATATTACTTTCTTAACATGGCAAGGCTTTCAAAAAATACCCGATGGCAAATTATTGGTATGCATTACGTAGTGTTGTCATGTCGCGACATCGTTGCGAACGTGAACATCAACCACACAGTTATTGTCAACATATCAGAAAGCACATATCATTATTTATCTTTAGAGAAGAGTGGTGTGAAATAAAACGAAAGTCCCATGTTGACTAAGAGTCATTTGAATGAACTGACAGAAGCGGACGTAAAACTACTATTCACACGGCCATTTTGAACTTGACATTTCAGCTGATCGAAGCGAACATGAGATACGGATGAGCATCGATCTATGCATTTACATGACATGTGTCAACCAACTCAGCAAATCTGACTATCCGGGCCCGCTGGCCCGTGGCTAGTAAAAATCCAGTCAGGCCAATCTCCACAGTCGTTGTCCCGACTGGCTAGTGAATCATCGAATCATTTTGTAAATATATCACTCTCTCCGACTTGATAAGTAATAATACACTTTTAATTCATGCAAAATTATGGCCTGATAAAAATGTTCACCATATTACCAGCTTAATGATGAAACCCGTGTCTTCATTCAAACTTTGGGCTAGTGAAATATTTTGTGGGCTACTAACTTTCAGGCATAGCTAGCCCGATTGGCTAGCAAAATTTGGAAACTATTTTGCACACTGTACTAGGGTCTGTCGAACCTGATGTGTTTTTCCTTTCTTAACCATGCCATGTATCACTTAGACTATTGTATATAAACTCACGAGACTGTGTTAACATGATGTAAATCTACGGTTTTATTTCGAGATGAAACAACACTTTGAACACACGCTATGAAACATGAAAACGTAATGAATATCCATGGTCAATAGTACTGGCCTCGACATGCAACCCACATCAACAAAATACTGGCTCTGATACATAGGCACCTGACGTTGTACACATGTTCTCACATACTCCAATGGACAGATAATATTACCCATTGGCCTGGGAGTGAGTGAGTGAGTGAGTTTGGTTTTACGCCGCTTTTAGCAGTATTCCAGCAATATCACGGCGGGGAACACCAGAAATGGGCTTAACACATTGTACCCATGTGGGGAATCGAACCCGGGTGTTCGGCATGACGAGCGAACGCCTTAACCACTAGGCTACCCCACCGCCCCATGGCCTGGGACATTCCGTGTTTCTTCGTTTGAAGGTGGAGTGGGTTAGAGAGTTTAGTTTTACACCGCTTTTAGCAATATTCAAGCAATATCAATGCAGGGGACACCATTAGTGGGTTTCACACATTGTACACATGTGGGAATCGAACCCGGGTCTTCGGAGAACGCTTTAACCACTAGGCTACCCCACCGCCCCTTGTAGGTGGAGACTGATCATGAACAAACTACACTGGTGTCAATGTCGCACTAGGAAATAATGTGGGAATCTAATAGATTATGTTTCGCACGTAGCACTTCGTTACAGTAAGGTGTTACAAACTGAATGTTTCATTACCCTATACCCTGAAAATCCCAGTTTGGGGTAAACGTGGGTACACTCTTCAGTGGATACCCTAGAAGGTCCTCTCGCATATACCGGCTAGGTCCTGAAAGATTATATGGATCCAATATGCTGGTCCAGAGAATGTATAGCGTCTGTTCACAGGTCTTGTTGGAGAGTGGTTGAAATACCACGTTGATCTAGTGTACTATGACAGTCTTATCTAACACAGAACATATTTGAACTATATTGAATGTTCCTGAGTAAATATCAGCTGTAAACCTTACTGCACACCCGTCATGTTGAAAGTAAACAACCCATGAGAAGCCTCGTCCTTCTTAGGATGATAACTGTAAACAATGAATGTGAGTTGAAGTTCCAGCTGCCTGTAGTAGACGGTGCAGAAGGTACGTGAGGAGTGGGTGTTCACAGTTTGGTGTCCAGCTGGTGTTCTTGGTGTCCCGGCTCAACTTTCACTGTCTCTGAGACTGTGCCATTGTCACCGGGCGGGTCGTACGTCGACAACAACTTCGCCGAGAATCTGTTGGTGAAGACGGCGCAGAGTAGACAGCTCATGGAGTTGCTGGTCGTCCTGATGCGGTCCCTGAAGCATTGACCGTAGATGCTAGTTGCAGCAAGACTGGGGCGTCGGGGTGGTTGCAGCAAGACTGGGATGACGGGATGGTTTAGACAAGACTGGGGCGTCGGGGTGGTTGCAGCAAGACTGGGGCGACGGGGTGGTTGCAGCAAGACTGGGGCAGCAAGACATGGAGCGGGGTGGTTGCAGCAAGACTGGGGCGTCGGGTGGTTTAGACAAGACTGGGCGATGGTTTAGACAAGACTGGGGCGACGGGGTGGTTTGCAGCAAGACTGGGGCGTCGGGGTGGTTTAGACAAGACTGGGGCGATGGGGTCAACAAGACTGGGGCGACGGGTGGTTTCAAAGACTGGGGCGTCGGGGTGGTTGCAGCAAAACTGGGGCGTCGGGGTGGTTGTAGCAAGACTGGGGAGACGGGGTGGTTTCAACAAGACTGGGAGACCCGAAGTTTCAATGTTTGCAATAGTGTAGTTCTTTACAAAAGGTTGGTTAGAAGATGAAATGAGTTTCTGAGTAAATTGGGTGCGTCCATGGACAAAATCGAACTTATTTTCTTAATAACCAGTACGGCATTTGCAGGATGTCCGCATATGCCGGTAACGCCAGGCAAACACACCCTCGACAGGACCACCCTATGACCTGCCATGCGGAGTCCTGGAGTGTAGGGGGACAGTAGGTACATGGACCTACAGTGAAACTCTATACTTACGTGTACCACTCTAATGCTAAAATGAGCCCGATGTTAACTGCCCGGATGTTGAGGGATGACAACAAGATGAGCAAGGTGACGATGCTGGCACTTGGAACTGACGGAATGGCGAGGGATCCGACAGTAGCCAGTATTCTGAAATAAATTTACCGAATCAAAGAGAAAGCATTTTGGAGGTTAAAACATGACCATTTAAGGGCTCTGACATTTTAGATTCCCTCACAAAATCAGAAACTTTACAAAATACAATTACATAAAGCTAGCATTAGATCATTCACATTGTCATTGTCTGAGCACATGAGTAACAACAGAGTTGTAAGTCAATGTATCAATGTTTGATAGTGAGTACACATGTATGGCGACCCCATGCATCAATGCAGCTACAATACTCCTTCAAAGTACGCTTAGAATTTACCACTGGTACCACCATGCTCCAGGCTCTATAGCTCGACACTCACGCTATCATGACGATCTTCCCGGCGTCCGTTTGTCCCTCCAGCTGACCTATATACATGGCTGTGACGGTGATGAAGAGGCAGCTGCCGTCCCTGTTGAGGGTGGCGGCGAACGGCACAACGAAGCGTGTGACCTTGGGACTAATGCTGTTCCTCTCTTCCAGACAACGAAGCTGTTCCGGGATAGATACAGCACTGGCGTATAACAGAAATATTAGCTTAATAAACCACTTTACCTTGCAAACAGGCGTCATTATGACACAATTCATTAAATTCTTTTTGTTTGTGCCCCCAAATGCTTTCTATTGGTTTGTCATTGTCATAATGTTTAACCCTTAATGGTGATGACTCAAGCTCATTAACTTACGGGAGCGGTGAGGTAGCCTGGTGATTAAAGCGTTCGCTCGCAACATCGAAAACCCGGGTTTGAATCCCCACGTGGGTACAATGTGTGAAGCCCATTTCCGGTGTTCCCCGCCGTGATATTGCTGGAATATTGCTAAAAGCGGCATAAAACTGACCTCACTTACTCATTAACTTACGTGCTTGGTGGTCCGAATGCTGTCATCCACACACGCGAGGCACTGAATAAAAACTTGAGTGGGTTTCTCCTTGTGAGAGCGAAGTAGCTGAGGGGCAGCAACACCATCTGGTGGATGACCATCCCGACAGTGACCGTGAGGACGAACATCCCCAGACTCGCGAAAGTCGTATCGATGTCTTTAGCCTTGGCCACGGAGCTTGCGATCAGACTCGCCACCCCAACAGGGGTGTACCTGGATAGATATCATACAATATACGGGTATCTGCATATTCATGGACGTGCGTTAAATATGAGGAGCTCAAATGTATATTTCACTTAGCAGTTACAGTGTCACGTGACATATGGTTTCACGACTTTGTAAAGAAATGGTCGGTTTTAACCCTGAAAGTCTCAAGAAACCTTGTCACGATCTTGAAAGCAGATGGCATCTGAAGTTCACAAAGAAAGCAATCTGTAAAATGCTGGTTTTCCTCATAGATAGTTGGAGAAAGGACTTTTGGGTAAGAAGTAAGAGTCACCATGGGCGCCGTTTGTGCTCCACTTGCGAATATGTTTGTCGAAATAGAAAAGCAGAACAACTGAATTTGAACAAGACGTTTAACTTTAGATTCATGTACATGTATATTAATGAACTGCAAAAGAGACGAAATTATTTTGTCGCTTCAAGACATGTCAGGTATTGTTTTATAAGATGATTAATTGACAGGATTTGAAACAAAGTGAGGATAATGACTTTTCGAATGTTATAAATAATATATACGTCTTGAATCCAAACAATAAAAGCTATAGACTTTGACTGAAATATCATATTTCGAAAACCATCAATCTCACCAAACTATCCACCGAAGAACCTTGATCATGACCTCGCTGGTGGACTGGAAGAATCTGAGGAAGGGCTGGCCAATCTCATCACACTTGGAGGCCGCCATGCCCAGGACTGTACAGGCTAGTATGAGACCTGGGGGAGAAAGATCAGGACAAGGAGTAACAGATAACAACATCTGTATCCTACATTACCATACACAGGGCTTGTACCTTCATCGGGATTATAAACGCAGAAGATCTTAAACCTTGTCTCTTAGTGTGACTTGCAGAAATCTTATTCCTTGTGAAACCTTGTGAAACTTTGTGAACCCTTGTGTACGTATAGGCTTATTCACAATTATTGTACGAAAGAGGAAAAGCAGTCCTGAAATGGGTTCTTCTTAAACAGTTCTTTATTCATACTCTAATCCCGCTTACCCAAGAAAATGATCTGTTATCCTCATGCATTTTTATCCTGAGTGCAGTAAAGATTCCTTTAATCAACCTGAATATACTGACAATGGTCACCAGCACACCACTGTAAGCAGTTCCACGGTTTGACGTCAAGAATATATATGAAAATATGGACAAGCACTGTTCAAGGACACATTCCATACAGAGGGGATACAGATTCCATACAGCATACAGCATACAGCGTACCCGTATAAGCTCCATGAGGGTTACCAAAGTTGATATAAGTAAAACTAGTGTCTTCCTTGTCTAAAAACCTACCTAAAATGTTCGTCCCTGATGACACGCCAAGGCTCCGACTATAGACAGCCTCGGTTTCGTTTATGATGCCACCGGAAGTGTTAACGGTGATGACTCTCTCTGACACCAGGTGGTACTGGGTCTGGGACTGTTGGAAGGCTGCTGCCACTAGATTGTCCGGGAACAGATTTCTGTATAAGCAAAGACGATAAAGGTTGATGTTTGAAAGAAAACTTTTGAAATATTGTTATAGAACCATATAAAATCATTGAAAATGACTGTTAACTGTAATATTCCCAGCATGTAAGTCTCAGCGTTGTGTTTCAAATGAAAAAATGCATAAAATGAAAGACACATGTTCTAGGTATCAGTAGACTGTAATATAGATGTGACGTCAGGCATAGGTGTAGCTATACAACCCAGATGATCATTTGGGACATGAGAACTGAAATGAAGACAGACAAGAGAAGTTCTCTCTTTCAAAGCATATTGCACGTTTTAACACAATTAATTTCGTAGATCGATGGTCACGCTGTTGATCACTGAATTGTCTTGTCCAGACTCGATTATTTACAGGCTGCCACCATATCACTCAAGTTTAACACATTTTCTCCCAATATGTCACAGTACCGCAGAAACATTCATGAGATAACTGATGCGGACCTCTGTGAAAGCACTCCAGTACAGCCACAACTGTGTAAACTCACTCACGCCTTTATACAGTATTGGCGGTGTCCGCCTCATCTAAAGTGACACACTATTAGGCACGGAAACAAATATGCATGTCATTGTATCATAATTTCATTTCCGTGGTATAGTAAGAAATGGCTCATTCCAGATACCGTATCAGGTCGGCAAAGATGTCTTCCGTTTGGAGATTCTTGGTGTCAGGCTTGGAGAGGTCAGCTGCTATCACCTGGTTACTTCCTGGAACAATGGAAGTGTGCATGTGTAACTGTAGCAATATACAGGGGGAGTCGATATGTCAGGTGAATCAGCAGGTGCAGATATGTGTGTGTCCATGAACAAATATTAATCTTAGGTGAGGTAAAGTTTAGGGTCAAACAAACAGACGATGGACATCGCCCAATGCCAAAAGCTCCCTCGACCTTCTTTCTGGTGAACTACAAATGTAAGCTCTTTCCAATGTCGGGAGAAGACTCACCTGGCTTAATGATGAGGCTGACGATGACGGCAATGACGGCTCCGATCGCGTTAGTGACGATGATGTAGCCGAGACACAGGATGCTGATCCTTCCATTGGACCGAGGGTCCAAAGAGGCGGTGCCTGCAAGAACAGATCATAAAGAATGTTGAGTGTTGGTGTACAAAGCAATCTTAGCGCTAGGATGTCGTTACTATTACACGCACCATGGACTTAAGACATTCGTAACTACTCGTGTCATTCCGGTAAGCTGGATGGCGACCCGCGGCGTAAAACCTCGTGGCCATGTTCACGACTGGGCTTTCGTAACTACTCGTGTCATTCCGCTAAGCGCAAACGAGCACGGAGATGAAAATAGTCTAGGACTATTTCCAAAGAAAGATAAGAATTTCCAAACATGGCTACTTCTGGGAAACAACAAGAACAAGTTTGTTTAACACGAAAGTCACTTAAAGTAAGTTTCTTAAGTCAATAACAAATATCAGTAACAAGATAACTTTATAATCACGGAAATAATAATGCAAATTGATAATTGCAAAGAAACTATTTGACCTCATTTCAAATTTTACTACGCGTGATTTGATTGGTTTGCCACGACTCTTGGCAATAATGGCGTACTATACAGGGCTAATTGTAGGTCACGGAAAGAGGCGAGTAGTTACGAATGGGACTTACGCCTCTCTTAGCGATGAGGTGATCGTTACTCCTACACCGAGGCTGCTCTGTACAAAGGCCTTTTATTTTATTATTTCATGACGACCGAATCAAAAACACATATCAGTAAGTGGAATGTGATTTCATTGTGTTCGGTATCTGATCAAAATCGCAACAGAGGCATGTCTCGTGATAACCTAGCTCTGTATGAAGCTGATTCAGAAAGGTTCCTACAACTATTTGTGACTAGGGAGGTTCATCACGTCAAGCCTAAATCCGAACGATCAAAACTGTAGAAGGATTTAGCATCACCACAACCAACGAAGGCAAAGGTTACAGCCTCCTTGTTCTGGTGGACTATATTTCAAAAAGCAAGACAATCAACAATACGCTACACAACTGAGGGAATTGCGGAGGTAAAGAGACTAAGAGATTGAGGATGTTGAGAACAGGTGAGCTCTTCCATTAGAACTATGCACAAATCAGTCTTTGAACTTTATGAAAAGCTACCAGAAGGACTTCTCTGAGATAACTGAGATAAAATCCTTCAAATCGTACGTTTATGATTTTGGAAGGGCATTACTTTGGAAAAAGATCTCTACGTCTTTTGGTCCAGATGGACGTCACTGATGAGTTTGTGGTATTTTATGGTGGACGTCTATTTTCGAGTAATATTTCTGTATTGATGTCCAGTTGTCGACGATAATGAATTGGTTTAACATAGTATTTGAGTCTGAATCATAATAAACCAGACATTTCAAACGGAGATGGGTTTTCTTGTGTTGAGATTTATCGCCTCATAATGAATAGATCTGTTATATTACTAGCATCACAGAATACCGGACATGTATCCAGTTTCTCCCTGTGTGTCATATCTGTGCATCTATTTGATTGTAAAGCATTATCCCGAGACCTACCTGCTATGACGCTGCTGACAATGAGTGGAAGGATGGTGGCTTTTAACATGCGCATGTACAGCTCTCCCGGAAGTCCTGGAAGGAGAAAGGAAACACATCAATTTCGTCATTAAATATGAAACAGGCGGCAAAGTTGACATGATACCCGAATTCTTAATTGAATAAATAATTGTTTTTGCCCGCATCGGCGATTTTCCAGCTATTTGCAGTGATGGAAAAACTTCAGATGTTATATGAAGTTTTAAGTAAGATTAAGTTGAATATATCGAATGATCAATTGTAAAACCGCATTATCCCATGAAAGGTTATTATGATTTGAAAAGGCAACCTTGTTTAACTATCATCCAAGAGAGGTTACTGTTACGTGAATAAGGAACCTGGGTTATAACGCGTCTATCACCTAAGAGGTGTGATAAAACACATTTTTTCCCATTATGTCACAGTACCGCAGAAACATTCATGAGATAACTGATGCGGACCTCTGTGAAAGCACTCCAGTACAGCCACAACTGTTTAAACTCACTCACGCCTTTATACAGTATTGGCAGTGTCCGCCTCATCTAAAGTGACACACTATTAGGCACGGAAACAAATATGCATTGTCATTTTATCATAATTTCATTTCCGTGGTATAGTAAGAAATGGCTCATTCCAGATACCGTAATAAGGAACCTGGGTTATAACACTAAGAAGTGTGATCAGCCCGTGAATAACGAATCTGGGTTATCGATCCACGATCACCCAAGAGGGTAAATTGAAACGTGAGTTACGATCTGGGTATGAGCCAAATATAACAAATGTAGGGTGTAATGTTCGATGTTATTCACCTAACTATCACCTATGATTAACACGCAAATAACACCAATCTATGGCCAAAGACGGTGATTGATAAACCAGAACGAACCTTGCATATTGCAAGTACATATTTTCAGAAACATCCAACATGTTAACTATACTCCTCTCACCTAGCCACAGCACAGTGTGTTCGTCCGCCCCAGCGTAGTAACACAAGAACCCAACACAGAAGCCCAAGACGATGCCCCCAGCAACTAGTGCTGCAAACAGGGCCGGTAGACATCTTGACATGGTGCGCTTGACTTGTACAAGATGGCCGCGGAGTTGCCACCAGTTTTAATGCATCATGACCATATAGGGGTATGCGTAGTTCAGAATGTCGCTTGGTCAATTGGACAAGCAAAGGTCAACGTTCAAAACGTAGGGGTTTGAAATACGTTTGACTTCGATAGTTATTGACCTTTCATAGCTGACTGTGACAGATGATGGAGGTTTACATCTGACTGGTGACATGGCATCGAGTCGTAAAGTTAACTGGTTACATGTCATGGGGGTTGTATGTGGGCTAACCTTTCAAAGTCAAAAGTCAAAGATGTTTATTGTACAAAAGGCCTCCGGCCCATATACATTGCAGTTATACATATACATTATACATATGGTGCAATAAGTAGTAATTAGTGATCCAAACAGCAAATCATGATACAGGTAGTGAAATACGATGAACCTACAAAACTCGTTATCAGATTGTTTCGTTTAATAAGAGCATAATTGATATAGTACGACAGCTTTATTATTACATGCTGGTCAGTTGATGAAAGAAGTAGTTTAAATGCTAATGTAGGTGGCTTACATAGATAATATTCAGCTATATATTTCGTACGCAAATCTTTATACAAAGGACATACAAGTAAAAAATGGATTTCATTTTCCACATCTATATTACACAGTGGGCACATTCTCTTGCATCGTTCAATATATAAACGTCTTCCTTCGTTTACCATTATGTTGATCAAACCTAACCTAAAACGTATAAATGGATATCTTAATTTCTTTGATGTTAAAAACGACAGATATTTCTCCGGCTGGAGTAGTGATTTGTATATTCTATAAGAGTCGTACCGTGAACTATTATCTATTACTGAATACCATTCTTGATTAAACGTATTAAGACTTTTTTCTCGAAACTGAGTTAAAAACAAACTTGCATCACCAACTGACTGACTTAACCATACAAAACCATAACCATGTGCAAACAGAAGATTTCTTACATAAGATGCCCACGTCACTTTACCAATGTTGTCCAAATGAACAAGCATGTTATGAGCCTTTTGGGGTAATCAATGTTCTTGCATACACAATATCTTAAACCAGAATTTTATACATCGAATATGAGCATTTACATACAGGGGATACCTCCCACATTCACCGTACACCATACAATTCGGTGTAGAGGGTCCTACATTTAAAAATTTCTTACAGGCCATCATATGTATTTTTTCTATGCATTCATATTTCTGGAATCCCCAAATCTCGGATCCATACAAAAGAATAGGCTGCATTTGACAATCAAATAGTTTAAAGTAAATACTGGGCGTCAACACACCAATTATACACAAGGCAGATAAAAGACTTATCAATGCTTTCTTAGCTTTCAATGATAATTCAGTGACAGATGTTTTCCAGTTCATAGCAGATGTAAACTTAATACCAAGATAAGTGTAATGATCAGAGACAATTACAGGTTGGTCATTAAAGGACCACCTTTCTTTAGAAGATATCCGGCCACCTTTTCTAAATATAACAATATTAGTTTTATCTAGATTAACGGATAAATCCCATGTTTTAGTATACCGTTCCAAAATATTTAACTGGGTTTGTAGTCCAACTACAGATTCTGATAAAAGAATTACGTCATCAGCAAATAAAAGAAAAAAAAGTTCTAAGATATCTGGAAACATTTGGATGCCATGTTTACCATTTGCGATAATATCGTAGTACAATTCGTTGATAAACAGGGAAAATAGAATTGGACTCACAACACATACTTGTCTTAAACCAACGGGGCAGTAGAAAAAATCAGTCTTATCATCACCACAACGTACACAGGCTTTCACATTAGTATACATTGCTTTAAAAAGTGAATACATTCTACCTTTCAGGCCAGCATTAATTAAAGAATACCACAATTTAGAACGATTGACAGAATCAAATGCTTTACGTCAATCAACGAAAGCTACATATAATTTACGCTTACGACGGGATAGACATTTCTGGGATAGTGCAAATAGTGTAAAGATATGATCAGAAGTTGAATATTTCTTTCTAAAGCCTGCTTGTGATTCGGGAATTTTATCTGTCATACTTGCCCATTTAGTGAGTCTGTTATTTAGAACAGATGTAAAGACTTTACCTAAAATACTCATAAGGGAAATTCCTCTATAATTATCTGGATTGGTTCTTATGTAAGGGAATAATAATTGATCGCGCCCAACAACGGGGGAAAATACCATTTTCAAATAATTTATTAAAACACTTATTCAAAAAGGGCATGATAACAAACTCTGAACTTTTAAACATTTCCACCACGCCGAGGTCAAGACCATCTTCGTTTCCATTTTTCATATGCAATAACGCTTTTGATATTTCATTATCTGTTATGGGTGAGTCTAATACAAGTCATTCGACGTCTGACATATCTGCAGTTAAAATATCTGGTGTTGCATCATCCTGCAAAGGAAAATCATCAAAAGAATCATTACGAAATACATTTTGAAAATGATTAACCATTCCGCTTTCGGAATTACATTTTTTCGTGTTGGTCGACTTTTTAAATATCTGATTTGTTTCCAAAATGAGGTCGGGCTTTTTGTTGCCTTTGTTAAGTTATCGTGAAGGTGCAAAACCGACTGATGACAGTCATGGAAGTTTGAGACCCGTGAAGGTCCGGGTTAGAATTGGTCCTCAGCAACCCGTGTTTGTGGTAAGAGGCGACTAACGGGATCGGGTGGTCAGGCTCGCTGACTTGGTCGACACATTTGCACATGAGATCGATGGTCATGATGTTGATCACTTGACTGTCTGGTCCAGACTCGATTATTTACAGACCGCCGCCATATAGCTGGAATATTGCGGAGTGCGGCGTAAAACTAAACTCACTCACCTCTTTGACAGAGGATGCTAGTTGACAGCTGTTTGTGTACTTGGCACCGGCACTATCCTCTTTAAACTGCTTTTTGTGTAGATTGCTGGATATGTCTGATTGTGGCGTTACACAACACACATATATGGAGGTTTTACGTCAACTGGTGTCGAGACATGGAGGTTTTACGTCAACTGGTGTCGAGACATGGAGGTTTTACGTCAACTGGTGTCGAGACATGGAGGTTTTACGTCAACTGGTGTCGAGACATGGAGGTTTTACGTCAACTGGTGTCGAGACATGGAGGTTTTACGTCAACTGGTGTCGAGACATGGAGGTTTTACGTCAACTGGTGTCGAGACATGGAGGTTTTACGTCAACTGGTGTCGAGACATGGAGGTTGTACGTCAACTGGTGTCGAGACATGGAGGTTTTACGTCAACTGGTGTCGAGACATGGAGGTTTTACGTCAACTGGTGTCGAGACATGCAAAAAATTCCTCGGTGTTAAAATTAACACTTTCAACGCAGTGATTTATGGTGAATGCGGTAGGTATCCAATGCACATTCTTACAAGCATTAAAGTTATTAAGTACTGGCTAAAACTGTTGATTATGCCTTCCAATCGCTTACCCAAGAAGTGTTATAATATGATGTTGTTATATGATAAAGGTGGACGAAAAAACTGGGCAACTAATGTAAAAACCTTTCTATATTCTATTGGTTTTGGAATTACATGGAATACACAATATGTCGAATCACCTACATTATTCATACAATCCTTAACGACAAGACTAAAAGATATGTATATTCAAACATGGTGTAAAAGGATATCCTTATCAATTAAATGTATGTATTATTCATTGTTTAAAAATGTCATAGTCCTTGAGTAATATCTATCCTGCGTTGATGTTAAAAAGTTTAGAATAGCATTGGCTCGATTCAGATGTTCTTCTCATGATTTGTTGATTGAAAGAGGCAGATATATGAATGTAAAAAAAAGAAAATAGATTACGTGCACTCTGTAGTTTAAACGAAATAGAAGATGAATTACATTTCCTCCTAATATGTCCATTTCATGCCCGGTTGCGAACCAAATATATTAAAAGATATTACTATGTCCATCCAAATGTGATAAAATTCTCCTCACTGTTAAGTAGTAAAAATCCAGTTCTTCTACAAAATATTTCAATGTTCATTTACTATGCTATGATTACCCGATCTAAATTCCTCTCAAATGTAACATAACTTTATGTACTATAGGCCTGTCGCCTTTTCAGTGCAAATAAAGATTATTATTATTATAGTAATATACCATGCTGATTACTCATAATTACTGATAATTCAGATGTAGGATTATACAGCTTCCACTGTATTTCAGTGTTGCACTTGATTTAATGCCATGTTTGGTGATTGTTAAAACTTCATCTAATGTACAAGGGTTCGGTGTGTTGTGTGATGATGGGTCGACATTACACTCACGTACACCGTACCATGACATGGTAACTGTAGTTTGTTGTGTGTGTCTGTTGAACAATATGCCTCTGTGTCCAAGACGTCCATACAACATCATCAGCCGCTCTGACAGATGACGACAGCTAGATGTGGGAGCTGACATTGTACCGAGTCATAAACCGAGACCAATTCACATACGTAGCGTCGTCACCTGACACCGTAGAAGAGACACCGACATGTATTATTCAAGTATTCTGTGTCGGGACAATGTATGTGTATCTACCGTCCGAACCAAAGACTGATCTACATGAAAGCAATATTTGACAATATATAGTTACCCTATATTTACACGCAGAATACCTTTCATTGTGGCATGTTTTTGTTGATATTGTATCACACACAATAGGCAGGCGTGTGTTTTAGTCTGGGGGTAGTGGTTTGGGGAAGAGGGAGGATCTCAAAATGGACTTTTCTCACAAACTGTCGATACAGTGGTCCACCAGATGTTCGACCAGATGAAGATGTCGGTAGTTTGAAGCCCATGTATGGTAGCAATAAATGATTAGATGATGTGTCTGACATAAATCTAACATAAACGACATTGTGGATTCTAGCTTTCGGACGTGGGAGCCGTGCCAATGTACACTTATCAGAGGGGTACAGAAAGTCCGCAGTCTAGACTACCAGTTGTCCGACTTCCGTTTTTGTGGAAGTCGCGGAGGCTGAGTGGGTTAGGCGGTTGAATTTGTGTGCTGGCGATTAGGTGCCTGACTCTGAGGGTGTGGGTTCAAATGCCCTATGGGACCCAAAAAGTACTAGAATCTGTACTTTACTAAGAAAGTGTAATCCCAATAAAACATATGTTCCTGTACACGCTGTAGACACAGAAGAACATATCTACATGGTGCATACTTTCTGTAACCTGTAAAATGTTGGTTTAATATCAGTCGTAAACTTAATACCAGTATCTAAATATATGTAAACTTACATGAACTTATTTGAATGATGCAGTAATCGATATGGGCATATTGAATTACATTTTCACTCGCTGCAACAACCTTAATGTTTATATCTGCTCGTTGTGTAGATCTTCACGTTGTCCAGTTGGTACAATGTGGCTCTGGTGTCGAATTCGTGCTGGTTCAATATGTCCACTATAGTTTATGCCTAACACTATGTCAATGAACAATGTTACAACACACCACTCTCTACGGCTTGGACAGGTTGCTGGTAGACTGGAGTGTTATATCGCCATTCTATTGGGACTACTCTGGATAACAGCTTCGCTTACCATGATATCTTTACATCCCTGGACTACCATCACCCTGGACCCTTTAGCTAACATGGGTACCATCACCTGGACCCTTTAGCTAACATGGGTACCATCAACTTGGACCCTTTAACTAACATGGGTACCATCACCCTGGACCCTTTAGCTAACATGGCTACCATCAACTTGGACCCTTAAGCTAACATGGCAAACATCACCCCTGACCCTTTAGCTAACATGGGTACCATCAACCTGAACCCTTTAGCTACCATGGCTACCATCACCCTGGACCCTTTAGCTAACATGGCTACCATCACCCTGGACCCTTTAGCTAACATGGGTACCATCAACTTGGACCCTTTAGCTAACATGGATGCCATCAACTTGGACCCTTTAGCTAACATGGATGCCATCAACTTGGACCCTTTAGCTAATATGGGTACCATCACCCTGGACCCTTTAGCTAACATGGCTACCATCAACCTGGACCCTTTAGCTTACATGGTTACCATCAACCTGGACCATTTAGCTAACATGGCAAACATCACCCTGGACCCTTTAGCTAACATGGCTACCATCACCCTGGACCCTTTAGCTAACATTGCTACCATCACCCTGAACCCTTTAGCTAACATGGCTACCATCAACCTGAACCCTTTAGCTAACATGGGTACCATCAACTTGGACCCTTTAGCTAACATGGATGCCATCAACTTGGACCCTTTAGCTAACATGGGTACCATCAACTTGGACCCTTTAGCTAACATGGCTACCATCAACTTGGACCCTTTAGCTAACATGGATGCCATCAACTTGGACCCTTTAGCTAACATGGGTACCATCACCCTGGACCCTTTAGCTAACATGGGTACCATCAACTTGGACCCTTTAGCTAACATGGATGCCATCAACTTGGACCCTTTAACTAACATGGATGCCATCAACTTGGACCCTTTAACTAACATGGGTACCATCACCCTGGACCCTTTAGCTAACATGGCTACCATCAACTTGGACCCTTAAGCTAACATGGCAAACATCACCCCTGACCCTTTAGCTAACATGGGTACCATCAACCTGAACCCTTTAGCTACCATGGCTACCATCACCCTGGACCCTTTAGCTAACATGGCTACCATCACCCTGGACCCTTTAGCTAACATGGGTACCATCAACTTGGACCCTTTAGCTAACATGGATGCCATCAACTTGGACCCTTTAGCTAACATGGATGCCATCAACTTGGACCCTTTAGCTAATATGGGTACCATCACCCTGGACCCTTTAGCTAACATGGCTACCATCAACCTGGACCCTTTAGCTTACATGGTTACCATCAACCTGGACCATTTAGCTAACATTGCAAACATCACCCTGGACCCTTTAGCTAACATGGCTACCATCACCCTGGACCCTTTAGCTAACATTGCTACCATCACCCTGAACCCTTTAGCTAACATGGCTACCATCAACCTGAACCCTTTAGCTAACATGGGTACCATCAACTTGGACCCTTTAGCTAACATGGATGCCATCAACTTGGACCCTTTAGCTAACATGGGTACCATCAACTTGGACCCTTTAGCTAACATGGCTACCATCAACTTGGACCCTTTAGCTAACATGGATGCCATCAACTTGGACCCTTTAGCTAACATGGGTACCATCACCCTGGACCCTTTAGCTAACATGGGTACCATCAACTTGGACCCTTTAGCTAACATGGATGCCATCACCCTGGACCCTTTAGCTAACATGGGTACCATCACCTTGGACCCTTTAGCTAACATGGGTACCATCAACTTGGACCCTTTAGCTATCATGGGTACCATCACCTTGGACCCTTAAGCTAACATGGGTACCATCACCCTGGACCCTTTAGCTAACATGGGTACCATCACCTTGGACCCTTTAGCTATCATGGGTACCATCACCTTGGACCCTTTAGCTAACATGGCTACCATCAACCTGGGCCCTTTGGTTCCCTTAGCTACCATTACACTGGGCCCTATAGCTACCATGTTTGGAATTACAAATAAAACTACAAATTCAAAGGGAATTATAAAATATATCAAATCAATTAAATTTACACTATTTATTGTGAAATAAAACCCTTGACATTAACCCCATGAACCTAATGGACGCCCACGACCCATGCCCTACCACCAACCCCCGTTTACGGTCGGACATTACAACACCCGAGCATGACGATGAATACGACGACGGGTAATGATGCAGTGATGGACGTCTTTGTCTCGTGCACTCCCATGTAGCATATATCACTGAAAATACTGAAAGTGTAGTTGACGAAGGTACAGTTCTATGTTTTCGTGTCACCAGATAGAATATAGGCACAAATATTGAAAACAAACTGATAAACACCACATGTTGTATAACCTGTTCCACATACACCTGTGACCCTTCTCGGTGGAACCCATTATGTCATGGAATAAGCCGGCTTGCGATGGGACATTAAAATGTAACAATGGACTCTTATTCCGGCCTCGCCTGGCTCAAGGTTGTACGCGGACAACTACGGGACAAGTTGTTTATTTCTTACGGTGGGTGTTATTGCGCCATTTAAGCACACATATATCTCTAACTGATGTCAACGGGGAAATGTTTTCTATATTCACTGTTGTCATTCCACTGCAACCAAACACTGTCAGAGCTTACGTTTGCTTATGAGAATATTTGATACTATTCCGTTTTCACTGTAACAGATCTCTCATAATAACTAAGGCAAGAATCAGTGGTTGTAACAAAATAAGATAAAAAGCGGAACAATCCATGGACGGTTTCATTTCTCTGTCGGTTCCTCCTCCCTCAGCGTAAAGCAGCACCAACTCCCCGGAAGTGTGAAGACCAAGATACGTTTTGTGATGAATACAGTAATAATCCCCCTCACTCACTCACTCACTCACTCACTCACTCACTCTATTGGGGATGTAAAGTCTAGGCAAGTTATTGTGACGAATATACATTATAATAACATTCACTAATATTTTATATGCAAATTGATGTGGAGAGTGTGCTTGTCATTGTAATGGTTCTAAGTTAATCACTCCCACTCGCTCACTCACTCATTCATTCATCCCCAGGGCACGCGAGGAATATGCCGGTTATGGTAATGGATGAAGCGGACACTCACCTAGCCACATCAGTGCCTCTTCGGTTGGGTCAGCCAGTCTAATCGTGAAGCCCACCACAAATCCCAAACCGACTCCAAAAATTAACGTCAGAATCACAAGCAAGTTTTGCCGAAACCATTTTGGTGCACAAGACTGGCTCCCTCCCTCAGCCACACCGTCGATGTCGTACGACTTCTCTTTACTTTGACTGTCACTCGCCATGATACAAGCACTGCTCTAACTGGGGACCTGTATCAGTCCTGGAGATGATCATATCAGGTGTAGGCGACGTGTATTCGGTTGGAATAAACAGTTCACTACGGCGACACACATCTGTGTTTGCTGTACAAGTATGAAGGCTTCTCAAGTCGCCTTCAGCAAACAACGGGCACGAGGACAATATACATAACTGCCGTTCTGAAAGGATCCAGCTTACTTAGAGGATTTATACTCCCCCTGCAGGTAAACCCAACACATTAATATTGAGTTTACAAAACATGTATAACCAAATAAATGTAAGCTTGTTAAGAATATAGACATGTTTCTTTATCAGAAACATATGTAAATACATGGGCATGTGCTATGTGGGTGATGCTCCAGGTTGTGTCAGATTTTAAAGGTGCATAAAATCTCCATCATCTGTGCTGGCATTACATTTCATCATACGTTTAATGACATCTTCCTTGTTTTATCTGGTCATTAACGTAATGAAGGTATGTGGGTAACATTAATCTGTCATTAAACTAAACAGGTCGGATACCATTCGCCAATGTTTTTGTTTAAAGTGCACGTGTCCTATAAGAAAACTGTTATAGGATTTCCATTGAACCCTCCAAGACACGTACACCTGGGACACGATGACACGTGTCAGCCAAGTCAGTGATCCTAACCACCTGATCCCGTTAGTCGCCTATTACGACAACATGGGATGCTGAAGACCAATTCTAGCCAATGATTCATGTATACCAACTGCGTAGATCGATGCTCATGATGCTGATCACTGGATTGTCTGGTCTAGACACGATTATATACAGACCCACATCCTAGAGCTGGAAAATTGCTGTAAGCGCGTTAAACAACAAACTGTTTTGAAATGAGTTGACAATATATTATATATTTTCATAGAGAGAGTTTTAATCGTCTTAGTCTGATTCCATATCAACTGTAGACTGAGATCTTACTGGAAATGGAGGGTCCACACTGTCCAACAACTGTTATTCAGTTTCGAGCGCACATAATATCCCAAATAACCGTAAACAACGAAGAGCATATGCGTGGAATGTTTTTGATTCGGGAACTACAAGCCTACCCAGTGTGTATGTTCTTCTTAGATCCCGACAGGCTGCTGAACATGACCTGGCCAACTTGGGACCAAGGCATCCCAAGAGACCACCTCGCCCATGTACTTGACGTCTTTAGACCAACAACTGATTAGGGTTTAGCTATGTTGTTTTACGCCGCGTTCTGCAATCGTCCAGCTACATGACGGTGGCCTCTTAGAAATCTGGCCCCCAGAAAACCCAGAGGTTGACTTCAGGAGCATCGATTTACGCAATCGATGACATGTATCAACCAAGTCAGCGAGCCTGATCACCCGATACCGTTAGTCGTCTCTTATACTGACTGACTGAAATTGGTTTTACGCCGCTTTAAGCAATATTCCAGCAACATCACGGCGGGGGACACCAGAAATGGGCTTCACAAATTGTACCCTCGTGGGGATTCGAACCCGGGTCTTCGGCGTGACGAGCCAACGCTTTAACCACTAGGCTACCCCACCGTCCCAGTCGTCTCTTATACAGTGTCAGTGTACAAGTATCCTTGTATACGTGAGTTCACGAACTACTTATTTCATGATAGCAACAATGACCAGTTATTGAATACGTTTAGAAAGTTTTGGACCGAAGTTTAGAAAGTGTTGGACGTTTGGTGACAGGATTTGGTGGTGGCAAACCTAAAACATAAATTCAGCTAAGCTGGGATTCAAACCAACCTATGTCAAGAAAAGGGAAATAGTTTGTGCATAATCACAAGGAACATCGACCGTCGCCAGGAGGAGTACGGTCGGCTGAGGGTAAGATGTAGAGGGTAATGTCCGAGTAACTCTCCATTCCTTAAAAATAATGGAGCCGAGGTCCCGGAAGGGCCGAGGCACATTATTTTTGAGGAATGGAGAGTTACGAGGATATTACCCTACTTAAATTACATTCGAAGTATTGGGAATATTTCTGTGATAAAAATTAAATGTCAAAATGACAAAATGAAGTTTTTATTTTGAAACTGGTAAACATCGCTCCATTCCTGAAAAGTAATGGAGCGAATAGACAATGGAATGACGTCACAAATGTAATTTAATTCCGGGTGAGTTTCTGTCTACGGTATAAACGTGTGTTGAATGTAAAGTACTTGCAGCAGTATCACCGTGGTATATCTACGGGATGTCAGTCATAGCAATGTGCGGGTGAGTGCGGATTAACATTGCTGTTACAGACTCACGTCACCAAACCGTGACCGTGAGTATAAACTAGAGGTTATCAGTTTGGGGATGTAACTACCCTGTGTCTGGAATAAACACTGGATATAGCAAGTCTTGGCTGGTTATTTGTGGTTATTTGTGGATGTTGTTCTACATCCGCTATACTCACATACTCATGCAATATTCCAACCAGTAAAGTTAGACTCCAATAACCCCCCTGTGGTGTGGTTCCTACAACAATGCAGTGTTCTCTACTTATCATGACACTGCTCCGTCTCATACAACAGTATGTAAATGTATCGGCTTGTGGCCAGGTAAGTAAACCAACAGGTGAATGTACTCTCCTGTTAAAGGACATGCGTCTCGTGTTGTCATGGACTGAAATGCCAGCTAAAGGGAAAACATAATTGCAAGATATTATATGCCACTTCTTTCCCGATTGTCAAAGAAACCCCAAAACAGCATATAAACTGAACAAAAACACACAGAATAGTTTGGTTGATAAGGCGTTGTAGACAGGACCAAGTATACGTGACAAAAGTGTGTGTTTGTGGTGTTTGTTTGATGGAGAAAGAGAGGGAGAGAGAGAGAAGAGGGAGAGAGAGAGTCCGCAATATAACAGGTGCCCGTGCTTCAAACAGTTCAAAATTAACATTGAGGTGTTCGGTGAGATAAATACGTTGGTCGGTGGTCCCTCGGGGACCACGGGTTGATGTACCCTCCATGTCTGTTTATGGTCCTCGAGCCCTTCGTATGACCACTTAACAACGTATTTATCTCACCGAATTCGAATTCCCACAGTTCGGCATTTCCAGTAACATAGAAACTGTTACTCGCTTGTAAGCGGGGTACGTTGATTAGCTTATCGCCAAGTTTCTTTTCTTTCTATGTCAGTTACGAGTTTAAATCTTTAAATATGTTTCTGCTTATGTATGTTGATGATCTTGTAATAATTCCTGAATCTGTTGAAGGGTTGCAAACACAGTTGAATTCGCTGTCAGCTTATTCCACACAGTGGGAACTTGAAGTAAATATTGCTAAAACAAAGACAATGGTCTCCAGAAGAGTTGGTAAAGTTAAATCGTCAGAACATTGGTTATATAATGGTTGTGTCCTAGAGGTTGTCGATACGTTTCCATATTTAGGAATAGTCTTTAATTATAATAACCGATTCTCAAAGGCACAGCTGCAGTTGTCTGACCAGGGTAGGAAGGCCCTCTTTTCAATTTACAGTAATATCAGGTCGCTCTCTCTCAACCTGGAATCTCTTTTATATGTCTTTGATTGTTATGTTGGCAGTATACTATCTTATGCCTCTGAGATGGGGATATAACAAAGGCTTAAATATTGAAAGGTTGCATTTGGAGTTTTGTAAAAGGTTATTAGGAGTTAAAGAAATCAACATGTAATTCCATGGTTTATGCCGAGTTAGACCGTTATCCGCGCGCATTTAAAAGGCAATATAGCATGATTAAATACTGGTGTAAGCTTCTGGTGTCTGAAAATAGTTTTTTACGGGGTTGTTATGAGTATTTGTATGAGGAGGTGGAGACCCGTGGTGTTAAAAATTGGGCGTATCAGGTTAAAAGTATTTTGTCGAATATTGGATTAAGTGAAATATGGTTAAGGCAGGAATTACCACTAGATTATCTAATAGTTATAAAACAAAGAATAAATGACCAGGCTATTCAGTTTAATCTTTAGTCAGCTGTCCAACCCATCGAAATGTGCAATTTATAAAAATATTATGAACCAGTGTACGCTTCAATATTATTTATGTAAATCTATTCCATATCTTTATAGGAAGCACTTATCTAAATTCAGACTCAGTTCCCATAATTTAGCAATAGAAACTGGTAGGTATGAAAACATAAATCTTGTTAATCGAAAATGTCAAATGTGTAAAGATGATATTGAAGATGAACTACACTTTATATTAAAATGTCCACCATATCATAACTATAGAATAAAGTATATTAAACCATATTATTATATATGTCCATCAGTATTTAAACTTATTCAACTACTTAGCATTAATAATGTTAAAGTGTTGTGTAATTTATATAAATATTTATATATAAGGCCTGTTTATTAAGAAAGAAGTTAATTAGTAAACAGTAGTTTTACATCCTCCTTTACCTTCACCTCTATTCCACTGTCACCATGTATGCAAACCTGTACCAATACCAACACCGATGTCATGGTACCAATTATCTGTACATATAACGGTAACAAACGAATCGATATTGCTGGAATGTTGCTAAAAGCGGCGTAAAACTAAACTCACTCACTTTGAGAATTACAATAACGTGACCTAGTGAAGTCTTTTTTTTAACTTGACAGAGATGAAATGAACCCGTTCTGAATCCCTGAACCTAACGGACTCTCAAAGTCATTCACTGACACCATTTCACTGACATATGTCTGGTTATATTTTATGCTGCAGCCAGATCCATGAATTACACCATGAAACTATGCAATGTAAGCATTTTATTATTTCACTCTATTAAATTACTCTGGGGAGGGACCTCTTTCGCAGTCTCCACGAATAGTAGCAAAAATGTTGATGCGACTTTTGGCAATATTCACTCACTCACTCACTCACTCTCTTTTCGCAAAAAAACCCGAATGATCAATTATTCTTTTCCATTTTATACATCTTGTAAGGAGGTGATATCGTGAAAGGCATATGTATATTTGATGAGTTTTTCTTTGGTCAGAGGTAAGTGAAGGCGTGTCAAACTGGCTGTACTCC